GTGACATCGTTTCTGCCATGATCCCATGAGTGTTTCTAATGACATGTGCACCCCCCAACCCCCGGGACAGCTAAGATGCCCTTGCCCACCTTCAGGACCGCAGGGCTTTTCTGCAGACTGTTGTTTAGGCGAAAAGCCTGTTAATATCTCTCTCACCGTGAGCGAATTCGAACCAAAGAGACCAAGTAGAGGAAACAGAAGCATTCATAATGGTCTCTGAATCAACAAATCATTAGTGCCAGCTTTTGATGCTGCAATTACGCGCTTACCTGGAGGAGCAAAATAACAATATAAAAGTTGTTTAATAACCTTGAAACAAGACAAAGTGCTTTATCTAAAGTATGAGGGCTGAGCAACAAAGCTTTCAAATTGAGATTTTACACATTTCACTCCTTAGGGCTGTGGCTGAGTGTTGCATATGTTGTTTTGGCTCCGCTCATCAATATGCATGGAAATGAATCATCTTTGAATTAATACAGATCAACAGGGATGGGAAAATACACGCACCACTAACGTTCAGTGCTGCTTTCGGACCACCAGCCTAGCGGTGATGTCAAACCTATGTTCAGTGTTACTCACAAAAGTAATCCATTACAGACAGAGGTGGGTAGTTGAAGTCCAGAAAGGACAAATCCAGAGCAAGGTTTTGTTTCACCTAACCAGTTGCATACTCTGTAACTCTTTATGCTCAACTGGTTGGTTGGAACAAAAACCTTGGTCTGGATTTGTACTTTCTGGACTTGAACTACGCACCACTGTCTGTAATGGATTGCTTTTGTGAGTAACTTCCCCAACACTGCAGCCTATGTTTTGCAGGCCTTCTGAAAGGTGCTCACGCAACTTCATTGTGCTCTGCTTTGGTCGTTCTGTCCAGCTTGGTTTTTCGTGTAGCGGAGAAGCTCAGTAGCTAGGATGTTTCCCAATTCTTCTGCACAAAAGACTTCCGCACAGATTTTGGAAAGCTGGCTCTCTTTCCAGGTATTCTGCAGTGTGCCACAAGTCACTTGCACATCCTGGATGATGTGGTCACTTAAATTTTTCACATAAATCCGAGTTTAATCGCTAGCATTGCCATTAAACGTTTTAATCACCTTCGTATAGTTCTGCTTTTGTTTCAGGTTAATTCAGAAATGGAAACCATTAACCTTTTCTTCATATAAATCTTCCATTAGTATGAATTTATTAAATTTTTATCAAGCCAACCTAAGACCACGACATGCTAAAGTACCAAAAATGCATCAGAAATAAACCATGGTATGTTTGCAGTCCAATGCAGTAAGCATGACTATAGTCAAAGACGCGTCTCTCTGCTGAGACAATGCATTGATTTGATGTTTTCCTTCTGGCAGCCCTGTCATTAGGAAATGCCTGCGCGCTGTCTGACATATTAAGTGCCTCTTCGGCCGTGGTGGAGCTTATATTCCAGCAGGGGGCAAAATTCCTTCATTGGTAAAGGCTGTTAAATTAGACTTCTAAGTGCAGGAGTGTGAATCACGGGGGATTCATGTTTTCTGCTCTCTGATCTTTCCGTACTAGACCCGCAGCCAGTTAAGACATTTTGATGCTTAATCCCTTTGGGACATTCTGCAACTTGAGAAGATTTCTTTAATATTGAATTGCCCCTCCCCCCTTGTCTCTATAGGCCCTCTAACTGTGTGATGCAATATGCCAACAGTGTGTCTGATTGGTTCATATTTGTTGCTGAAACCTTATTGGCTCAATTCCCTTTAGTGACAGCTGTGCCGTCTTCCCATTGGAACAAACTTTGTTACTCTGATCATGTCATTGTTATATTATTAACAAAGTGATCTGTCTAGTTGAATCAGCTCTCTTCATGTTAGAGCCAAAACAAGTCATACCTTTGTTCATTCCCATATTCATTAACTCAGTAGATTTTCTGTCACGACGCGGCGGTTCAGGGCAGGGAAACAGGCCTGATATTGGGGCAAAACACAGGATTAATTGGGGGCGACACATTCAGGAACATGGAGAACTCGCAACATTACTGACGTTAATGACCAGACTAAGGAAAGATTCACAGGGAAGCACGGAAATACACTGAATCATTAGAGACTAGAAACAGCTGGTAACCAGGAGGATTCCACATGAGGTAAACGAGGGGGCGTGGCACACAGGAGTAACTGCACAATCAGGGCTTGACAGAACCCCCACCCCCCAAAGGTGTGCATTCACCAGGACCAGAGGGGCCAGACAAGACATGATGCAGGACCCAGGGACAAACCAGACAACACCACCTAGAGGGGGACAAGAGCAAGAACATCAACGGGGCAACAGGAACAGCACCGACACACAGAACGGGCACAAAGACAACACCAACCAACAAACCACGGGGAATGCAGACACGCACAAGGACACCAAAGATGGAAACACAGGACCTGGGGAATCCAAAGGAAAAGAAGACACAGGGGGAACACAACCAGGGGACAGACCAACAGGAGGGAGAAACCAACCAGGGGGCACAAAACCAAGGGAAACACCCACGGGAGGAACCAAACCAGTAGGGGGCACACCGAACGGGAGTGTGAAGGAATCAGTAGGGAACAGAGGCGAAATAGACAGACGCAGAGCAAACACAGGGGGCACACCAACAGGGGAAATGGAACCAGGGGGCAGACAACCAAAAGGGACAAAACCAGGGGGCAAAAAGGCGAAGGGCGAGGGGAGCCAGGAAGTCAGAGGGACCACCGGAGGAGGCGAGGAGGGAGAACTTTACAGGATTATGAGTTCGATTCCACCTCTCTGTGGGTAAGGCTCTCTTGGTGCCCCATTCTGGTCCCCCCCCACCTCCCCGTGATGTGCTCCAGGTGTTCCTCACCCTTATAACCCACAGCCAGTTAGAGAAGATGGATGGATGCACAAGATCGTGATTCCACTTGTATCTTGAACTTGAAAATGGTCTGAATTGCACTGTGTGGGTGTTCCCTAATGGTGTCCAAGGTTAACCTCTTATTTATAACCCATAATTTCTTCTTCTTTGACACAAAGTTGCTTGACGACCAGCAGGCATTTTCCCGTCTCCAGGTGAGGCCATGTTGATTGGCGAGCAGCTCTGTGACTTCCATCAGTGAGGCCTTCAGCAAGGCCCAGATCTCTGCTTTTGCCTGGGGAGGGGATGACAGAAATGCTGCCCAGCTCAGTGACCACCACCCGCCCCCCCGCTCCCCAGTCACTGCCTCAGCTCCATGGAGACCTCGCACACAGATTTCACTTCTCAAAGCTGTTTTATAACGTTAATTAAAGGTGTCCACTAGGAAGTAAGGAATGTCTCATTGGGAAAAGAAAATCATTTAAATTTAGGATCTGGCAGGTTTTATGTAACATTAAACTGGGAACCCAATTTAATTTGCTGTATATTTAATAGTCTGAAATGCATGCTATTTAAATCTTGCTCTCTCTCTGGCTGTCTTCTTCGGAGGGGTGCTGTCCCACCCCGCGCTTTCTCTGGATGCATGCTTCCTTCATTCACCTCATGCTCGTTATTTACAACACTCGACACCCCCCACACCATCATCATGACCCCCCCCTCCCCCACCCTTAACTTCTGATCCATGAAAATCCTCTCAGTGGTGATTAGGTAGCTGAAGTGACAATCACTCCAGCCAAAGTCTCAGTAGAACGTGCAGGAAAATGAGGGGTGGGGGGGGCTGATCGGATACAGAAGAGGCCCAGATTACAGACCTGAGTGTGCTGAATATTCGGGGAGGGTGGAGCACAGATATGCCCCACACCCCCAGCATCCTGTACCTGCAACGCTTAGCAAGTGATATGTATGTATGTATGTAAGGGGTTATATGTTTTTTTTGGTTTGTAAATTCATACGAGGGGGGGCGGCACCATGGTTTGCACGGATGCCTCACACCTCTGGGACCAGGGTTCGAATCTATGCCAGGCTTTCATGTGTGTGGAGTTTGCATGTTCTCCCCGTGTTGTCGTGGGGTCCGTCCCCCCGACCCCCCCAGTACAAAAACATGCTGACACTAATCTCATCCTGGGTTGTTCCTCTGGGTTAGGCTCTGGACCCCCCACAACCCTGAATAGGATAAGCAGAGTCAGATAGTGGATGGATGGTTGGAAATTCGTGTGGGAGCTGCTAGCAGACTTCTGCATTTTCACAAATATTTTATTCAGTCAATACAACACTGGAATGTGATCAAACAAAACAAATACTGTATTTTTATTATATTTATTTACAAGACACTTGTGTCTAAAGTGACACAGTTGAAAAAACAGGGTCAGTAATTACAGAGTAAGGACTTTGCTCAAGGACTCAACTGTGAAAAGACTCCGCCAACTGTGGGATTTGAATCAATAACTTTCTGATCAGGTTGTTCAACAAGAAGTTTGAACTGTGACTAGAACATAAGAAATTTACAAACGAGAGGAGGCCATTCAGCCCATCAAGCTCGTTTGGGGAGAACTTAACTAATAGCTCAGAGTTGTTAAAATCTTATCTAGCTCTGATTTAAAGGACCCCAGGGTTTTAGCTTGCGCTACACTAGCAGGGAGACTATTCCATATTCCATACTCTAACTACACACTGTGTAAAGAAGTGCTTTCTCAAATTCATATTAAAATGGTCTCCCACTAATTTCCACTTATGGCCACGAGTTCTAGTATTTAAACTATTATTGAAGTAGCCATTTTGCTGAACAGCATCCAGACCTGTTAGAATCTTATATACCTGGATCATGTCCCCCTAACTAGTCATTTAGTGACTGCATAGGGATGCTTACCCATCTTCCTGATGCTGAATTTGTGTATCATATTCGTTATACATGAAGTTATTTGGAAAGGTGATCAGAATGATATATTGCTGCCCGCTAAGTCGGCAGCTGATGACATCTGATGACGTCGGCCTGATTGAACTCTGGCATTGATTAATTGAGTCTAGGCTGAGATAAGTTATTTTTTTCACCACATATTTTAAATGACACATGTCATTCAGTTTAATGTCCCTCCCCCCTTTTTCATGTCCCAAGGTCTGTGACGGTTAACTCTCGTCAGCCGAGACCTTGAACTTCCAGCATGGAACATTTCTGCGGCTGGTGGACCGTAAACCAGAAAAAGCAGGTACGAAATATGTGAATGTGAGATAAACGGAAATGTACAGGGCAGTAAATGACCAGACGAGGGCGCTGTCTCAGGACCGAGATGTCTAATAACTAAGACCCGGGCAAAAGTAAGCATTAGTATTTTCTGCGTTTGTTCTTTCATGTTTATTGCCTGAATTTATGGTACATTTGTCAGCATGTTCAAGCAGCAGTGCAACACTATTCTGTAAGTGGTCGACATTCATTTTGTCATTTACATCTCTAGGGATTCTTCAATGTACACATGCATACATGATTAATCCTCCGTGTCTAAATCAGACTGATAATCATGAGGAATCTCTCTCTGCCCCTTTACGAGGAAAGCAGCAGATTTGTCTCACCAACTTTTTAAAGAATTATATGCTGGTTCAGATGATTAGAACTAGAAATGAAACAATAATTTCTAATAAAGAATAATTTCTTTTGGAAATAATCTGATGAATGTTCATTCGCCTTCAGTACAATCCACCAATTGTGACGTAATAAAGTGAAATAATAGGACAGATATTGATATCACTGGCAGCAGTGCACAGACTCCACATTAAAGCCCACTAGTCACTGGCGATGAGCTCGCATTTGGCTGGATGTATGAGATATATCACTGCGTTTGAGGTTCCAACATTTTCACTGAGCTCGGATTACGGACACACTTCGCGCTCGCTCAAAGGGAGCTTTTGAGAATTTATCTCCATTGAGGACTTTTTGAAGCTTTTTTTTGTAACTGAAATATGAAGAAAACCCTCTGGGTCATTCTCTCCTGTCATGTTTACCGTTGATTTTACAGCTGCACTTGGAGTTGTTGCAATGCTGGTTTAAAGCAAGGCTGGATTGGGATGTAAAATCGGACCTGGACTTTGGGGTCGCCCACTGTACATTTTATCAACCGGATGGGTGGGATCTCAAGTTTTTACCAACCCAAATACCTTATGTTTCAGCTAAGCGTTGGAGCAGAGTATAGACATGATCATCCAGCCAGGAACTGACTCACCCATGGCCCCTCCCACCATAACCCAAACCCAATCAGATGCAGGTTCTGTGAACACCCTGGCATTTGAGCCAGTTGCATGTAATAGGGGTTGCAAGGCACGCAGAAATATTTTACCATGTTAATCCTTTACGGAGACTCCAAACCCAGTGTGTCCCGTGTCGAGGAACACGGAAGTTAATGGGATGTGACACGTCTACTTTATCTAAGGTCTCCAAATAGAAAATTATGTGGCTCCTTCACACTGGCATTGAGCTGCATGTCCCAATCAATGAGCAGAGTGGCTTTCTATGGTCTTTGATAAGAAAGGACCCCTAATAAAGAGATCCCACAATGCGATTATGCCCTTAATGTCCCTGCATTGTATTATGCGACGTGTCAAATTAACACTGACACAGGTTTCATCAGCGGTAAAATAGGAAAAATAATCGCCAAATTACTCGCGTTGATGGACGGACGTGATGTGCTTATTTGCGACGGGTTGGGGATGGAGGTGCTGCAGGCCTGCCTGGAGACCTCGGCCCATGCGCTGACTCCCACAGGAGCCTCTGTGAGATCCATAAACACTCAGCATGTGCGAACAGGACCTTAACGGCGAGGTGTAGAATCTGAGGTAGGCCTTTCATTGCTCGTAAAATTTTCATTGCTCGTTTAATAGGCCTGCGAGGTCTCCGGGGTTACAGCTGGAGGTTTCGAAGCAGACGGGCGTCTCCTTGGCGCTCCGTGCTTGTCGTTCTGGCTCAAATCGCTCCTGTCTCTAGGGAACATGTTCAGCTGGGCACCAGGAGCTGGTCTGACTCACCACGAGGGCTGGAACTGAGGAAGCAGGCAGTCAAACCACATTCATTCAAGATTTCTCCCCCAGTCTCTGTTTTATGTTTTCAGACAATAAGAGATATAAAAGGTCTTAATGGAGCTTTTGTCCTATAATGGTCGGGAAATTTCTCTTAACAACAGCATAGAGACCCACTGCAGGGCTCAAGTGGCCTCTCTGCATTTCATGAATTTGATTGGCTGATGGGTTCAGCACTGCCTACACATCAAATCCCGCCACTCAAATGTCGTCATGTGACGGGCGAACCGGTGGAGTGGTCATGACAGTCTGGTGGGGTAATTAGCGCCTAGCTGGCTATTGCGCACAGGCATGGGCAGGCCAACCGTGGCGCGGGTAGTGGTTAGCGTGGCTTACACTAATCAGAAAGCGTGTCAGCGCTTCGATGATGGTGGAATTATCACAGGTGAGTGCGTTGGGCATGGTTCTCGCTAATTAGGCTATTTAGAGAACTCACCGGGCTCCGGAAAAGTGTACGGAAACACGCTGGTAATCAAACGAAAAGTGCACATGGCATCAAAGACTTACCTTGGCCAGTTTTGTAGAAAAGCGATATTGAAGTACCATCCCACAGAGAGTCTGCGCTACCAGGTGGAAACAAATATGTTTTGGGGGGAGGAGTGTGGCTCAGTGGGTCAGGTCTACGTCGCTGGTCCGAGTCTTGTCTGTGGTAGAGTAGTCACATCCCCCGTTGAGTCCTTGGACCAAGCTGTTGCCCTGCTCACCTTCCCTAAGACCAATAGCCTGTCCATGTGATCTCAGATCCCAGGATTTGTGCTCGACCGTTTATATAAGTTTATGTCTCAAAGGAGAGAAGATGGCATTTACGGATTGAAGCATTCCGATGTACCTGTACCAGTGCAGATGGCAAACAACGCTTCATTTCATCACTGGTTATTGGTTTTGAACCCGGGATTGTTCCCTAAGCTCCCTTCAACAGATGTCGCAGTGTGTGTCTTTACCTTTTGCAGTGGAGCACAAGGATGAAAGTGCGTTGTCTTGCATGGTCTTTCCTGCCTTGCAGCTGGTGAGCTCTGCAGTAGCTGTGCCTCTTTGTTTCTCCCATCACCACTTCTGGAAGTTGCCTGGAACAACCCCGGAACGCTCCTGGAACACCCAGAACTCTCCTCGAACATTCCTGGAACACTCTTTTAACACACCTGGAACACTCCTTGAACATGCCTGAAACACTCCAGGAGAACCGCCTGACCATCTGAAGCAGAAAGCAAGTGCAATATGGTTTGGTCACCAGGTCTCCTTTGTTACCAAACAATTTATGGATCTCTCAGCTCAGCCGGAAAGCCGCAATCTGCTGGGGAAGATTCTGCAGACATGGGAGGGGGGGGGCGGCGGGATGATCTATTACACATTAACCAAAAGATGGGCAAAACTAGCATCGTTAATCATCTGAAACTACTCTCTGGGTGGCCTTGGGAAAATTCAAAATATACTGCGTGGTTTGGGTAATATAGTCCTTTGAGTGGATGTTATCTTCATGCGTAGCACCTGCTTGACGTCGGACGTGTGATTTCATAGCAGCCGTGCTTTTCACAATAGCTCTCGTGGCAGTTAATTTTTTTTGAGAATACTTGTGTTTGTTTTTTCTTTACTAATGCATTTGAGTAATGTAGTGCTGACCATAGAATACGTGTACATCGTTCATCTTCTGACCTGGTTTTTGTGACGGGATCTGCCGCAGACACTCTGGGGATGGTCTTACAGCTCTTACTGGAAGGAAAAGTCGGTGTTTTTTCCCCTACTGCTCATCCCACGAGCACGGAATCTTTCATGGATCCGTCTGGTCTCCGAGCAGCGAGTCCGGGGATCGTAATGAACATGTCTGCGTAATTGGGAGGGGGTGGCTGGGGAGTTCTGGGCGGAGAGACTCCGAGTGACATCTCCCTGTCCTTCGAGACGGAGCCGCAGAGCGGAATGAAACCACTTTATTACTCACTCTCATAACTTCGCTGACCTCCGCCAGTGTGGCAAAGAGCAAATATTTCATTTTGCTCCTTGGAATATCTCCGCATTTCCATGGCGCCCATTGTAAATGGTCCCAGCCCATCCAACTAACAAATCAACGTTTACATTCAGACAGAAGAACATTGGTGCGCACTTAATAAAGCCGTCTAATAAAATATCTTTATGTTAATTAGAGAGGCTGGTGGGAAACGTATGACAATTTAATTTCACAGGACATAAAGCCGGTTTTCATTGGCTATTTTACTGTCCTCGAGAAATCCATAAGCCGTCACATACCTCGTTATATTGCGAATAAATCTGAAAAAGTCCCCCCTGTCCATTTTATAAATGATACCTTAGTGCCATTAGAGATACCGTTTAATGGCGTTCAAAACAATATGTGGAGGCTTTGCGATTCAAAGGATCAGCTTTTATTCCCTCCCCTGACTCATCTTCACGCCAATCAGATATATGTGGGAAAAATAGGTGGATTTTTAAACTACATCATTAGCAACAACTTCCAAACTGTAAGCAGTGGAACAATAGCTAGGCAGAATGAATAAAACATTCTATGGCAGAGATAGAAAGAGGAGCAGAGGATGAATTTTCAGGTTTGGTCGCAGGGTGGTGTGGCTGCGGCAGCACCGTGTTTGCGTGCCAGATTTTGGTTGAAGGTGGGGGAAGCAGGGATGGGACCTGCCCCCCCGGACATCCATCTTCGGCCGGTTTGGCCCGGCCGCTGCTCCCCCGGCGAGTTTGGCAGGGCATCTGTCATCATGGTGCCCCCTCCCCAGCCGGTGATGGAATCAGCCGCAGAGTGCCTGCCACATAAATCAGCCGCCGGCGCTCAGACATGTGGCGCCTCCGGTGTTCAGGCGCGAGGTTCAGCTGCATAGGAAGTGACGGAGCGTCTAATTACCGCCGAATCCTAGGTCACTGCGCCGGTGTGTTTGTTACCGGTTGGTGTAAAACTCAACCGCTTCCACTTGTTCGGCCCGGTAATGAGGATCGATCCTGGGGGGGAGGCTGGGTAGGACCTGGCCCGCATCTCCAAAGATGGGCCAGAAAGAGGGACAGGTTGATGTTGCCATTCAGCATCTTATCTATCTGACTACCATCATGGTGAGAGAAACCATCACCTGATCGCTGGCTTGCTAGCAACTGACAGAGACGGCACCGGTGGCAGCAAATTGGGCCGGGGGTGGAGTGGGGGGGGGGGGGCAGAGATCAGTCGGTGCTGTCCCCTATCTCGATGAGCCACCCACACCTCCCAATCTCCTGGCCCCACAGAGCAAGTTTTAGTCTATGCCCAAGCTTGAAAGACAGGCCTTCCTCCTGTCAAACGATCCCAGCTGCTCTCTTCCAAATTGATTTCCTCCAGACCAGAGGACTTTTGATAAGGGCTCCGGGTGAGATTGACACACTGCCTAATATATTCTGAACGCTTCTTTCCATCTCTTTTACCCCACTGGACCAGGGAGAATCGCGGTGAAGTCCTTTAAGAGAATGCGATTGTCTCCAAAGGAGCTTTCGTATTCGGGGCCTTTGATCCCTCAAAGGGGAATGAGGCAGTTCTAAGAGCGCCGGACGCTGAGCGGACATTAGATGGGCAGCGCTGAAAGTGCGGGTAACTTCGCCGCTATCGTCGCCGTGTTGGGGCAGCTGGTGAGTCTCTTGAGCGGACGCTTGCCGTGGCGGAAGGCCGTGACTGCGACATCGGCAACAAGAAACGTTCCCGCCTCGAAAGATCGACAAGCCTCACAAGCCACAAGTCAATAAGCGTCTGTCTGAGCAGAAGCACGTCACCTCACACCGACTGTTTATGTCAGTCATGGGCAACCGGGGGCGCCGTAGCGTAGAATGCAATCTCAGAGATGCAGCCCAAATGTTATCAATGCCGAACAGCCCGTCCTGAGCAGAGACGTTTTATGAAAAACCTGCGCCCAAATCTGTCGAGTTGTTTGAGGTGTTTATCTGGCCACCTCCTTGCGATTCAGGGGCTCGAAAATAACAGCTGTTCTCATATAACTGGTATTTAAAATGGCTGCGTCTTGGGACAAACCATCTGGAGAGTGTGGGACAGGAAAAATTAGGTGCTTCGGAGTGTTAAGAGTTGTTCCTCCGTAGCATTTACTCTGGCACACAATGAGACCTTGTAGAGTGAATAGCCACACGGAGGTCAACAAAAATTACCTCTGGATTTTAAAAATAAGGCATTTTAAGATGTAAAATTCCAATTAGCATGCAAAAGCTATCTCTTAGAGGTGCAAAATCTGGGTTGAATATATTGTTTATCGTGATGTATGTAGTGATGTACTGGATATGTATCCTATTCCAAAAATGGAATGAAAGCGATATTAGGAAATTACAAATTACATCATGCCGTTCTATTATTTTGAAATTAGGTCAGCGTTCCTGGTATTGAAATCTATTTATATGGCCATAGTGTACATTGACCCACAGGCTACCCACAGCCAAACAGAAACTCTGGTCTGGAAATGTCCCCGTTATTACATAAGAAGCTTTAGCTTTGGCTAAAAGTCGCGATAACTTTTATGAATGGCTTCTGTCATCTCGCCAACATACTAACAAAATGGCCTTTTCTCTACAAAGCAATATTTCACAGAGTACAATGGGGCTCTATTTCATTCCTTGGCTGTATTAAAGTCTCCATGTCCAGTGAGGTAAAAATCTATGCGCTACCAATATTTTTGCGAAATGCCCAGTATCAGTTGCTGGCGAGTTATGCCTTTAATAGAACATTCCGGCATTCTCGCCTGGGTGCTGTTTCAAGGGATGGCATCTGGCCCAGTAAACATAGAACGCATTATTCTTTAATGGCTTCTGCCCCTCGCCACGTCTAATTAATGCTTTTCATGCACGAGGAGGGAGTCCCATGCTCCGTTTCAAATCCCTGAGCGTGAGTGCACAGCGGCGCCCCCCGCAGGAGGAATGGGAAGGCCGCTGGATAAAAAGCGCGCTTGGTTATCCGCTTCTGTCGCATGGTGCAGCAAATTATGTGGCTTATTATCCCGCTGTGTCATAGCGCTGCCATGGCGATATCCGACTGGGTTATAGAATCCCCCTCCAGCATGCGTGTCTGAAAAGAGGAATCCCTCTCTCCGTCTCTTTCACCCGCTCCCCTCTTTCCATCACTCTCTCTCTCAAATCCAAAGTTCCGCACTGACCGTTTATAGCGTCCCTGCATTATTCATGCACCTGAAATTGCGGCAAACGGCGCATCTTTCGACAGCTCGGTTTGTGGGATGGCTAAGCTGTGTTTACTGAGTTACGGGGGGGGGGTACCCCGGCAATTATTTTCTTGATGCCGCTGATACAACTGTTTCAACGGGAGCGGTGGGTGTGGAGAAGGTGCCGGGGGAGAGCTGAAATGGGGGGCACGTCCGCAAGCCGCCTGCATCAGGGGCTCTCAAGCTGTGGGGGTTTCCCCAATAACTGGTAGGCCTTTGATGTCTCTCCTGCCTGTCCCGCACCACTGCCCATCCAGCCATTGGAAAAGCAGTATCACCTCCCTGCTCAGACATAAGCATCCATATCCACTCTGGACCTTCACCTTTACACCCAGAACTTAGCAGTTTTAACAATCTGGATTGCATAAATCAGGACTTTGTCAGTTTGACTTTCTCTGCCAGCCCCTGCAGGATGGGCCCCCCCCTTTGAGTCTGGTCCCTCCCAAGGTTTCCTCCTCCTAGAGAGTTTTTCCTTGCCACTGTCGCCTCTGGCTTGCTCACTGGGGGCTTTGGGCGGGGATAATGTAAAGCGCTTTGAGACAATGTAATGCTGTGAAAATATGCAGAATAAAATGTAAATGAGTTGAGTTGAATTAGCAAATGATACTGGGGACCCTGCTCCTCACCAGACTGATGGAAGAATGGGGTCCAGTGTCATTTGGGGGGAGTCTCTAGAAAAGTTTGAGACTGGTATGCATCACTGACGACAAAGACAAGCACAAAGGCATGCAGCGAGTAGGCGACCAGGACCATGTGTGATTCATCATCTGTAATCTAATATTTCTGTAATCTAACATTAACCCACGTTCTCTGTAAATTTATATACCTTGAGTTGCAAATCTACAGAGCAGGACGTGAATCAACAGTATTAATAATGATTAAGATTTTCAAATAATAATTTCTTTCCTTCCTCTTTTCTTTTTTGTATTTCAAACAGCTATTTGCCCTGTGGAATAGTTTCTCCAGATAACAAAGGAAATGACACCTTTTTGTACGCAAAGACCACGCTGTTCTGACCCGGACGTCCTGCGAGCTGAATATTCATACTCATCCGTAGAGCGTCAGGAGTGCCGAGTCTGAGCGGAATACTAAATCGAACGCTGATTCCTGCGTCTCGCGCTCTGTGTTTACTCCCACCAGTTGCTGGTTGTGCCCGCCCAGCAGATTCTTTCCGTCGCGGGCGGCCACGGGGCCATTATACACGCCGAATCACCTTTAAAGATTGATGAGCGTGAGCCACGTGCAGCGGACGGACATCACAAGCCACCGGCGCCATTGATAAATCCACTAGGCACCAGAGGGCATGTTTCGTAGCATAGATCAAACCTGTGAAAAAACACTTTCGATGAATAAAGCCAGCCTCTCGCTCTGTGGATTTGTAGGCGGACGGTGTGTGTGGCTCAGTGGGTTCAAATCCCAAGTGATTTCACTGTTAAATCCTTCAGCTAGACCCTTAATTACTCCAGGCTGACCCTGCCTTCTCAGAAATGTATGTCACCTTGGATTAAAGGGTCCGGTAATAAATAAAAGGCAAACAGTTTTGGGGAGGTTCCATACAAAGGTAACCAACCAGCTGTGACTGTACTCAACTTGTCGGTTGAAACAAAACCTTGGTCTGGATTTGTACTTTCTGGACCTGATATTTCCACCCATATCCCTAATGGATTACTTTAGTGGGTTTTTTCCCCCAACACTGAATGTAAATACTGCAGCCCTGCTTTGATCAGTGGCTAATTAATGTGAGTATTCTGATGACTTGATTCTGAAGCCTTTTTGGGGATAAGACTAGGTCAGTGTTTCTCAACCTAGTCTTTGGGGACCTCCAGACAGTCTAGGTTTTTGCTACCTCCCAACTCCCAGCCAATGAAGATTGCAGAATACCAAGGACAGGTGTTTTGGGAGGGGGGGAGAGAACAAAAAGTGTGGACTGTCTGGGGTCCCTGAGGGCTGGGTTGAGAGACACTGGACTAGGTCCTTGACCTTGAACATCTTTGAAAGGTGGAACCTACTGGCTTCCGGGTTCTGGAGAGCAGTAACCAGTGGTCTCCACGTTAACAGCATGGAAGGATGATAGTGAAACCCAAGCTGGTGCAGTTTGAAAAATCAAAATGTTGATGCAATGTAAAATTATTTCTTCAAAATTGAAATAAAATGAAGAGAGCTGACCCTAGAGATCGGTTTGCATCTGTCATTCGACACACACCCCCCCCCCCCCCCCCCTAAGTTGAGCCGTCAGAGTTCCCGTATCGCTCTTGGCAACACAACTCGAGTGAAGTGACTCATCTGCTAAGATCTGCAGAAAACCAATATGGCAAGTCGAGCTCGAGGAAGACCAGAGTCACAGCCTGCGTCGAGCAACAAATCATCAAACAGACTCCTGTTGACTCAGAAAACATCAGGTTGGTCTTTAACACTCAAGGAGGTGTGCACCAATGCCCCCCCCCACCCCATCAGTCACCCACCAAGCCTCTAAGGATGACACAACTGTGGCAACACTGATGGTGACATAAGCGCCCCATTGATGTGACTCGGATCAGAAGCGGCCAGCTTGAGTAACCAGTGACGGTCGAGGAGTCGCATTTCCGGATGGCCTCTGCACCCAGCTGTCGACTTACATCCTTGTTGCTGGCGGATTCTGTAGCCCGTGGCGTGTGACAGATTTTCCACGGACTCCATGTCTCTGTGCCGGCCTGGTGGGGGTGTTAATTACCGCCAGGGAGGAGAGTGGGATTCCATATAATTAAGTGGGCTTCCTCTTCCAATTACACCCACAAGAAAAGACGTCAGGAATGTAAAATCATCATAGGGACCCAAGTCACCATCCTGCTGAGTCAAGGACAGAGAATACAGGGGGCGCTGTTTCCAGGAAGCCTTTTCAATTCGAGCGTGTCTTTCCCTTTGTAGACCTATACAAGGACGCCAGACTCATAACTATGTGATTATACTTCAACTGCCGCCCCATGTTTACTTTTCCGCTAGCGATTGATGTTTGGAAACATCGCACTCGAAACCCCACATTTGCTTTGTCACTGGGCAGGGCTGGTGTTCGACACTAACACAGAGACAAAAGCTGCTTAGTGGCCTCGTTCGGCGTGCTCTGGGCAAACGTTTCTGCCTCAGGGACGTGGCTAGAAATTCTGGGCCCCCCCTGACAAAATGTCACCTCGGGCCTCATATAGGTATAACTCTGTGGATTCAGGAGCCCCTGGAAAGTGCTGGACCCCCTAAACCTGCCAGGGCAGCCATGACCCTTCGGAGTCCCATGTCGCCCAATCAAGAGCGGACCCTGTGCAGACACAAGGCTGAGAAACAGAGCGGAGGTCCAGGCTTAGAATAACTGACCTTCAGACAGAACCTCACATTGGCTGTCATGGTAACTAATGGAGAATAATGTAAAATGTGGCCCCACCCCCAGACTGTCTTTCTCATATTCCTCCTAGACACCTTTGCATGACGGACCAAACACCAGTACTTATCAGCCCCCCTAACAAGAAGCTCCGACTTGAGTCATTCCAGTCTCTACCCCCCAAAGAAAAAGCATGGGAGGGGGAAAAAAAGCTTCTTTTAAAGGTACCTCTGAAGTTTAAACATGTGATCTTAATAGAATCTGACTTGCTGTATATTAGTTAATCCGGTCCATTCCGCGGATGAAAGACGTGACGGCTGCAAAGGTAATTCTCAAGGGTTCAGATCCGAAATCATGTTCAGATGCTTCCCAGTGGGAAGCCTGCGGTGCCAGAACCGGGGGCATAGTCACGTTTTAAGACAGCCGAATCTGATCCCGGACTGAATACTTAAACTAAAAAAATACCCAGAATGCACTGAGCTGAGGATATTGGCAGGTCTATACTTTATTCAGTGCTATCAAGCACTAGGGCTAACTTACAGTTACCACAGGGTAAAACGTGGTATCGTTTAATGACCCGTGCCGAGCAGACAGTCTGGCTGTCCCTGCTACAGTAGCCTGCAGTTGTTCTCGCTTGGTACTGGAGAGCTTCATTAATGGCGCAGTGTCTACTTTTCCAGAGGTGTCATCTAGGTTTTTGATAATTGGCGTGTTATTTTTCAAGAGTCATCTCCTAGTTATCTCTTTAATGAGGCTCATTGGCACATATCTTAGCGATGTTCTAATTAGTCTCCCACTTCCATAAAATCGGCATTTGCACAGAATATGCGCTAATGTTCATTTAGCGTTATACTTACATGATTTGGCGCACTAATGACTGAACAGTGACATACTAATTTGGTAGGTTATTTAGCTATGTTTTGATAGTCCAGATGAAACGGTTTCATCATATTTTACCAAGTAAATAGGGGAAAAAATGTACTTGTGTCATAATTAAAGACAGATTAAGGGAGTAGTGAATCATATTTTTGCATTAAAAATGTATGTAGATATATTTACAATGTATATCCACAATTGTATGTCTGCCCAGCAAACTCTTTTTGATCTTTACCTTGTGGACTAGTTTTACAAAACTATATCAGCCTGCCTTCTATCTATCCATCCATCCATCCATCCATGTATCCTTCTTAACCAATTATCTACAGATGTGGTGAGCTTGGAGCCAATCACATCGCCACCACAGAAGGGGATACCAAACAAGACTATATATTAAGAATGTAAGTTAGTCGTATGTTTTCTGTTATGGCCACTAGGGGCCAACTGTGCCATAGTGACAGTAGTGTGTGTGATACAGCAGATTTAGCAAATTGCTAAAATGAGCTAAAATCACATCTCAAATGTAAATGGAGGCTTCCTCGTTACATCTTCACTTTCCTCCTCGTTATTACGAAATGTCCCTCAGTTGCACGGGTTCCTACCCAAATACACCACACCATCACCGTTGCAGTTAACAATAATAGCAAATGTTTAAAAATTCGTACAAACCATGAAAATACATCATCCTTTTGCTGTAGGAGAGAAGAAATAGTCCAAGTCGCAGGTCTTTGGGGGGACCCAGCCAATCCAGAGGGCACAGAACCATCACACACAGAAACATGGGTGGTGGTCGAACCCGCAACCCTGCGAGTGTGAAGCCACAGTGCCACCTAGACATGTAATGACATCTTGAACGGACGCTGTTCCGTTGCTGGGCTTGAATCCATACTACTGAGAAGTGCCCCCCACTGATTGGTCAGTAAGACAGTGGCTAAAGGGAGTGGGAGAATGCCGCTATCCACCAATGGGTGACAGCCCTCAGACGGTGTGGCAGATGTTTCACCATGGCGACGGCTAACGTCTGACAGCAAAAAGATATCCCGTTTGCTCGTTCTCCTCCTTTGATTGAGCGAAAGACACAGAGAGACCCGAGTCTGTTAATCATCTGTGATCATAAATATTCAACGGAAAGGGGATGTTTAAAAGTACATTTTAAAAGGGAGCCACAAACTTTGCTGTCAGAATGAAGGAATGAATAATTTAGGCTTCCTTTGTCTTCCGTGGTGACTCGTGACTAATTGCTGCCGTTCGCTGATAAATCGTAAGTGCGGTTAATGTACGGAGCAGAATCGCGGTGCGTCTGGTGTGATCGGCAACCAAATTTATTCTTGCTGGAAACCCAGGAGAAGTTGCATATAAAAGCAGAGGTCTTCACGTTCACGGCCTATTCAGGGTCTGGGTTTTTGTTCTCTTTTAATCGGTGGAGTCTCTCCAAATCTCGGTATCCATGACGCCACTGGGATCAGACTGTGTGAGGTGAACACAGGGCCCCGTGAGGGTGGGGGCCAGCTCTTCTCTTTACTTTTGGGGGGGGGGGGGGCTGTGAGAACAGGCGTCGCCGTGGCCACCACTGAATGGTTGCCGGCATTCCCCGCACTTGCTGGAAAGGGGCTTGAAGGAGGTCTGGGTAGCCCCTTGACAGTGGCAAATAAGAATTTGGTGGCCCCCTGCTGCAGGTGCCCATTGCGATAGCTGGTGCCCTCGCTTGTCACCCGTCTGTAGAAGCGACGCCCCTTTCACAGGCAGGTCTGTAGAGCCACGGTCTGGTCGGTGCGGAAGTATTTTCCGGAGTGGGCCGCCCAGCGCAGCAACAAGATGATCCGTTTCGTCATGTATCAGAATTTGTCTATTCTTGAGGTCGATGAACGAGGTTGTTGCTGGGGCTTTTCGCCGCTAGGACAAAGGTGAGGGGGGGGGGGGGGGGGGGGGGCGGGGGGGGGAGGGGGGGGGGGTGACGGGGGGGGCGGGGGGAGGGGGAGGACCCCCCTGTCGCTGTGGAAACAACCCAAACAGAGAGCAGGTGGAACTGAAGTGAGGCGGCAGAACTCCGAATGGTGAAAATGAAAGACATTCGTCACAAATTCGTTATTCGGAAACACGAAATGACTAATGAGGCAGGAGGCTTCCATAGATGGGAAATGGATTAAATCAGGCCCACGGCTGCGGACGCGGCGGCGAGCCGCGCATTGAGACGCCGAATGCGGGTGCAAAGCGAGCGTGAAATGAAAGCGCGTTTGCCGCGTCTTCACGACGCCGCCGAAAATGGGGCCAGGTGAGCAGGCGTGTTTCGCCAGCTTTCCGCTGTAATTCCGTCTGATTTAATAACTGCTTCGTCTCCTCTGTGTGCATGTGAGAGCGGAAGGCCCGCCATAACATGATCTGCGTTATTTCTCATGTTCTGTTCCTATAGGTTAGATGGGACAACAAGGGTATCGGTGTCCGAATGCAGCTCATTTATAGTAATAACCCGGGGCAATTCTAAGATTTTAAGAGGGGTCATAGTTCATACAGTGGAACTATTAGCCAATGAAACGTTCTGAAATCAGTGATTGACAGGAGATGGGGCACTACGGGGGCCAATCAGCTTTCAGCTTGGCCCAGAGCCCCTGTGATCTTGCCTTTACACCCCAGATAATAACCATACAAAAAAAAAAAACAGAAAGATGCTTAAACAGATGCACTGCAACAGTTCAGACATGAACTTCCATATAACTTCCCATAATCCTCTGACCGTGACACATAACCGAATCTGTAACACATAACTGTATGTTATCCTCTTTGCTGCGCTGACACGCCATATCCTGGTGCCATGCGCAGATATTACTGCAGCTAAATGGACCCTGACGTTAACCGCAGTCCTGCGTGGGCGCATCATCTGGCACTGGG